CTTGACCTAGCTTTGGTACTTCATATACCAAAGTATGGTATACCATATACCATTCCATTTCTAGGAATCTGTCTATTTCTTCTGTGTTATCAAACCTTTGAGAGTAGAGGTTTTCGAAATAGATGCTGATGATCTTCTGTATTTCTACAAAGTCTGTAGTGATTTCACCTTTTTCATTTCTTATTGCATGAATTTGAGCTTTTTCTTCCTTTTTAAAATACAGTTGGCTAGGGGCTTACCAATTTTATTTATTCTTTCAAAGAACCAACTCTTTGATTCATTGATTCTTTGGATTGTTTTCTTAGTCTCTATTGCATTGGTTTCTGCTCTGATTTTTATAATTTCCTCTCTTCTTTTGGCTTTGGGCTTGACTTGCTCTTTTTTTTTCTAGCTGTTTGAGGTGTAGCATCAGGTTATTTATTTGTATTCATTCTGTTTTCCTGATATGGTAACTCAGTGCAATAAATTTTCCTTTGAGGACAGCTTTCATTGCATCCCACAGATTCCAGTAAGTTGTATCTGTATTTTCATTTTCTTGTAGGTATTGTTTAATTTCTTCTTTAATTTCCCCTGTGAGCCATTGATTACTCAAGAGTGCGTTATTCAGTTTCCACGTGTTTGTGGGATTTTTGCAGTATCTTTTATCAATTTCTAATTTCAAAGCGCTATAGTCTGATAACATGCAAGGGATAATTTCAACTCTTTTGCATTTATTTAAATATGTTCTGTGAGCTAACATATGGTCTGTTTTAGAGAATGACCCATGTACTGCTGACAAGAATGTGTATTCTGATGTTGTTGGATGGAACACTCTGTATATGTCTATCAAGTCCATTTGTTCACAGGTGTGATTCAGTTCTGTTATTTCTTTGCTGATTTTCTGTCTGGTTGATCTGTTCCTTGGTGTCAATGGTGTGTTAAGGTCTCCTGTTACAATTGTGTTATGATAATTTGATTTTTCATTTTTGTTAATACTTGTTTTATATAACTGGGTGCTCTGGAATATATTTAAGATAGTTATCTCTTCCTCTTGGAGTTTTCCCCTAACGAGTATGTAGTGACTTTCTTTGTCTCTTCTGATCATTATTGGTTTAAAGTTCACATAGACATGCATCTCTTAATGATAGGGATATCATCTGAGAAATGTGTCATCAGGGGATTTCACCACTATGCAAACACCTGAGAATGCACTGACACACCAGGCACATCATGGTCTAGTCTACCGCACACCTACGCTGCATGTTACATATACACACTAACGTACTGCTCCTGTAGCCAGGAAGAACAAAACAAGATTAAATTAGGATTGCACAAGAGAGATGGCAGAGCGGTAAGCAGCAGAGAATACAGCCTCTCTGAGAGTCTGTCTAGACACTGGAATACAGCATGATGAGGAAGACAAGAAGGAGGGAAGTGGGTCCACTGGACCCAGGGAAAATCTGAAGTATGAATCGCAGTCCACTGTGAGGGTAAAAAGAAAAACTTCAACAAAGATGGTGGTAGCCAGAGGCAACTTTTCCCTGAGACGGGATTCGCTGCACAAGAGAAGTGATACAACCTGTGGACCCAAGGTGACAGTGTCTGCTGGTGATCCCAGAGGCTTCTGCAGAGAGAGATGTGGTAGTAGAGGAGAGCAGCAGACATGAGGGACTGCACTGGCTGGCAGTGAGTGTAGAGGACTTAGTCCTCCTGTGGAAGAGACTAATTGGCCAGGAGCCATCTTGGAGAGGGGCTGGGCTGAGCTCAGAACCCAGAACTACTGCTGGCTCCATCTAGCATCTCTGAGCTGGGCTCAAACTCTTGGAAATTGCTCAGAGAGCAGAGAGTCCAATGAGTCTGGTTTCAGAGTAGGCTTGCTGAGATTATCCAGTACCCCCTCCAAAAAGCTACTGATGGTTTGCTGGGATAGATTGGCATAATTTGGGACTCTGTCTCCACAGGTTGTCTACTAATGAAACCAGAGAGAATTCTGGAAATGGACCATTTGTTTTTCTTTCTTTCTTTTTTCCGTTCTCCTTCTCCTTCATTGTTTTTATAATAATGTGAACATGGTTCCTTGCCCCTTTATGGGTGTGATTCTGTTATGTGCTTCCTTTTATCTCTTTTCCTTCTTCGGCACGAGTTCTCCCAAGTTGGCAGGATCCCCCTTTGTCCTCCAACCTTATATCTAATCCCTTTATCTTCTTCCATTTCTCTATTTTCTCCTTATTCCATTTTAAATTTTAGCCTCTGAGAGCAAAATTTACACATTAAGGACTTACATACTGCATATAATTTTCTGGTTTGTTTTACATTTTGTTATATAATCACAAGCCCAGTTCATATGGTTAAAAGTGGGGAAATTAAGGGTTAGCTCAATTTGTGATTTTCTAGACTGTTTAATGTTATTGGTACCATTCCAGCCAAAATTGACATAATTGTCCTAAACAGCAGTCAGTCCAGATATTCCATGACTGAGATTAACTAAGTGTCACAGAAAATATTATGGCACAATGCCAAAGAACCAGGGACTAGCCCAAATAAGCAATAACTTATCTTCAACAAACTGAAGGGGTAAAATCTTCCAACAGACTCAAAACTCAAAAACCAGCTGGAAAATACCTCAGAGAAGTAGTCTTCACCTAAGGTCCTAAATACTAGCAATAAAGCAACCCACAATAGGCAACTTACAAGCATCACCCCAGGAATTAAATGAAAAAAGAAGCTGGGCATGGTAGTGTACTCCTATAATCCCAGCACTCGGGAGACTGAGGCAAGGATCATTACAAGAGCAGCCTAGGCTACAAACTGAGTCCAAGGCCAGCCTGAACCACATAGTGAAACCTTGTCTCAAAAAGACAAAGGAAGAGAGAGACAGGGAGAGACAGAGAGAGGGAGAGAGAGAGAGAGAGAGGGAGAGAGAGAGAGAGGGAGAGAGAGAGAGGGAGAGAGAGAGAGAGAGATGAGATGACACCTAAGCAAAACACAACCTCAGAAATCCAGTTCACCAAAGATAAATCCAGGGGACAATGAGAGGGGACAATCTGAAGGGGCAACAACAAAGCAATTGAAGGGGCTGGGGATTTAGCTCAGTGGCATAAGTTGCAAGCAGGCAGTCATGGGTTCGATCCCCGGTACCGATAAAAAGGAAAAAGACAAAAAAAAAAAAAAAAAAAAAAAAAGCAATTGAATAAAGTCTGGAAAAAATGAAATCAGAAATAATCTCTCAGGTAACTAGAGATTACCAAAATATACACCCTACTTAGTGACATTAGAGCACACACAGACAAAAAAGAAAAAAAATAGGTGAGTTTAAGAAAACTATGGAAGCTCAGCATAGGAAAGAAATGGAATCCATAAAGCAGATTCAAGCAGACATCCAAGAAAATAAAAACTCCACTGAAAGTATTTAAAGCAGATTAGGCCAATGTGAAGACAGGATCTCAGATATTGAAGGTAGGCTTGCAGCTAGCAACCAGGAAAAGAAAAATTTCTCAAAAATAGCAAGGGACCATGAGAAATTAACCCAGCAGATACTAGATGAGACAAAGAAGACTAGCTTAAGATTGACTGGAGTTAATGAACAAGCAGGAGATACCACAAATAACACTGAAAAAATGTTCACAGATATCATAACAGAAACTTCTCTTGTAGTGAAAAAGAATTTCACATACACATAAATGAGCATATAGCACTCCAACTAGTGATGATCAAAAAAAATCTGCAGCCAGTTATATCATAGGCAAGATTCCAGAAATTTCACACAAGAATAAAATCCTAAAAGCTGCTAGAGAAAAGAAACAAATCACCTATAAAGGAAAGCCCATCAGAATCACAGCTGACTCTCAGCACAAACTCTCAAGTCAAGGAGAGCTGGGTGAGAAGTGCTCCAAGTTCTAAAGGAAAAGAACTTTCAACCCAGACTGATGTATCCCACAAAACTATCTTTCACAACTGATGAAGAAATAAGATACTTCTATGGCAAAGAACATCCAAGGAAATTTATGAACACCAAATCAGCACTCCAAAATGTTCTGAAGGGCATCCTAGAAAGAGATAAACACTACAGCACCATGAACCCCAACAGAAGGAATTCATCAGGAAAGGCAAACAATTATAGGAGGGAAAAAAAGTGGGAGGGGGGAGCCAACAACAGGAAAATAACATGATAAGGATAAATCAATACTTATCGGTTATAACCATCAATGTTAACAGTCTCAATTCAATAATCAAAAGACACAGACTGACAGAATGGATCAAGAAGCAAGATTCAACAATATGCTGTATATAAAAAACACTTTGAATTCAAAAAGAAATTCATAGACTGAAAGTCAAAAGATGGAAATCAATACTCTATGGCATAGGAATCCAGAAAACAGCAGGAGTAGCTATTCTATTTGCAGACAAAGTGAATTTCAAGGGTCAGGGATGTAGCCCAGTGGTATAAGCACCATCCTGACAAGCATAAGGTCGAGAGTTTGATCCCCATTATAAAAAAAAAAGTGAATTTCAAGCCAAGACTGATTAAGAGAGATAAAGAAGGTCCCTACATCCTCATAAAGGGAACAATCCAAGAGGAGAGGTAATGATCATAACTATATGCAACAAATATCAATGTGTCCAAATATATGAAATAATTACTAAAGCACATGAACAATGAAGCCCTAATACAGCTGTATTGGAAGACCTTAACACCCAACTGTCGCAAAAAGACAGATCAACTAGAACAAAAAAATCAATAATGAAATAGTAGAACTAAATCAAGCTTTTGAACAAATGAACTTATTAGATGTCTATAAAGTGTTCCACCCCACATCAGAATACACATTCTTCTCAGCTGCACATGGGACATTCTCCAAAAGAGACCATCTATTGGCTCATAGAACATGCTTAAGTAAATGCAAAGGAACTGAAATTGTCCCATGCATACTATCAGACCACAGTGCAATGAAACTGGAAATCAGTGGCAAAGGAAACCACAAAAACTTCATAAATACATGAAAATTAAGTAGCACCCTACCATGCTCACTTTAGTAGCACATATACTGAAATTGTAATGGTAGAGATTAGTATGGCCCCTGTGCAAGGATGACATGCAAATTCATGAAGTGTTCCATATTTTTGTTTTGTTTTGTTTTGTTGTTGTAGTTTTTTTTTTTTTTTGGTGGTTCAGTGAATCAAATAGGCCACTGAGCTAAATTTTCAGCCCCGTGTTCCATATTTTTTGGACACTTGAACAAGTGAAGAAACTGAAAGATTATGCTTTCATTCATTTTTGTGAACGAGATAGTGCTGTCAAGGCTAAGGAAGAAATGAATGGCAAGATGTGGAAGGAAAAAATATTGAAATTGTTTTTTGCTAAGCTACCAGATTAAAAAAGGAAAGAAAGAAAAACTCAGAGGCAAGCAGTGAAGAATCAAATGTATGATGATTACTACTACTATAGTCCACCTTATATTTCCCTTCCAACAAGAGGTCAAAGGCGTGGAGGTAGAGGTAGTTATGGATATCCTCTAGATTATTATGATATGAAGATTATTATCATTATTATGGCTATGACTGCCATAAGTATCATTGCAGATACAAAGACTCATACTATAGTTATGAAGATTTTCAAGAAGGAGCTAGAGGAAGAGGTGGTAGAGGAGCAAAGGGTGCTGCTCCATTCAGAGGTCATGGGGCTCCTCGTCCTCATGGTACAGCTGGTTATTTAGAGAGGAGGTCCTGCTCAGCAAGAAGTATTTGTGGCCTGAGAGGAGGTGCTCAACAACAAAGAGACCAAGGGGGAAAGGGAGTCGAGGCCAGCCCTGACCTGATACAATGAAAACTGATTTCCTATGTGGGATGACACCGGAATCTTGTCTTGGCTGTACAGGAGCACATTCTATTGCAGAAGATCTTCCTGTGAAGATCATGGAATCAAATACAGGACATTGAACTCATACCTAGATATCGATATGGATTTCCTTAATGATTTTCTCTGCAGTGCAAGTTATTAAACAAAAGCTGTTCTATTGTCTGAATGTGTTCCAATAGAAATCCTTCATAATGTCTAGCATGGTATCTTAATAAAGAATAAAGTTCTTCTCTTTAAAAAAATAAAAACAAACAAGTAGCACCCTACTGAACAACCAATGGGTCACAGATAAGTTAAAGAAGAAATTAGACAGTCTTTACAGTTGAATGATAATGACAGTGCAACATACTAGAACTTATGGGACACAATGAAAGCAGTCTTAAGAGGGAAATTTATAGCAGTAAAAACCCATATCAGGAAAACAGAGCAAGTACATATAAACAACTTAATGATGAACCTCAAAATACTAGGAAAAGAAGAGCAGGCTAAACCAAAAGCTTGTACAAGAGAGGAAATGATAAAGATCAGAGTAGAAATTAAATCACTGAAGACTAAAAAAAAATTACAAAGAATCAATGCATAGAAGAGTTGGTTCTCTAAAAGATTAAATAAACTTGACAAACCATTATTGAACCTTACCAAAAGAATAAAAGAAAAGACTCAAATCCACATAATTAGGAACGAAAAGGATTAAATCACAGCAGACTCTGCAGAAATTCAGATGATCTGTGTCTACTTTGAAAACTTGTATTCTAATAAGATGGAAAATACAGGACTTCCAGGAGAACATGGAGGATAGATAACAGCAGCTATCTCTGAGATAGCCAGCTTAGAATCCAGGAATGGTGCAGTGTGGGGAGTCCTAAGCAGGGGGAGATATACCCTGCTGACCCAGGAATGAATTAAGCTGAGAGAAAGCAACTGGAAATGCAGTCCCAGTACTACGACTAGAAGAGCTAAAGTCTCAGTGTCAAAGCTGGAACCCATGCCTCTGGAAACCGTGGCTTGAATTTCCTGCTGCCGCTGCTGCATCTGAATCAGCACAGCAGGGATAGAGACGCAAAAACTCTGAGAGTGGGAAGAGGAACCAAATTGAGAGCAGAGCTGGCGGGGAGCCCTGCATCGACCTGTGGTGAGTAAGAGGAACGGGGACCCTTCTATAGACTAGGAGGCTCAAACAGAGGACATTCTGGGACCAGGCAGACTAGACAGAACAGGCCGCTGCAGTAACTTCAGTCACATATTCCCCTCTCAAGCAGGATTGGTGGGGAGCGCTTGACTTGGGTGACATCACGGACTAAGACCCAGTAGGCTAGCCCAAACCAGATCCCTGTGCCTGGCAATGCACCCTAATGCAGTGAAGCCTTCAGCAGGTTGACTGACCTGGAGGGGCAGGCCCAGCATAGGCTGCCCAGGTCTGTGTCTCCCTAGTACACTGCAGTGGGTGGGAACACCTAGCCGGCAAATTCAAACGAACTGTAACTGACAAAGAAAGAAACTGGGCCTCCTATGCTTGTATGGAAGGAACAAGAAGTATGGGAAGAAGGAGCAATAAGAAAGGGTCCTCAGTCCGCAATCCTGAGAACACTGATACAGGAAAGGTAAATGCAAAGGAGAATGAGGACAGAAAATATGCAATATCAGGCACAGCACCAATAGACATAAAGTGATATCTCCGGAACCTCATAGACAACTTCAAAAGTGAATTATTTAACCAAGTAAAGCAAGATATAAGAAAAAACAAATGGTGGAATGGAAGAACATAAAAAAAGGGGAGAATTGTTTGATGGAGAAAATAGAGAAAACGTAGAATACATGAAGCAGGTTCAAAGAGATTACCAGGAAACTAAAAACTCTATTGAAAGCTGGCATAACATCTTGAAAGAAACTTAAGGATAGGGGGCTGGGGATTTAGCTCAGCGGCATAAGCGCTTGCCTTGAAAGCCGGCAGTCGTGAGTTCGATCCCTGGTACCAATAAAAATGAAAAAGACCAAAAAAAAAAAAAAAAAGAAAGAAAGAAAGAAAGAAAGAAAGAAACTAAGGATAGATTATCTGAACTTGAGGACAGATTTGTAATGTGGGAGCATGAAAGGAAAAATTTCTTAAAAATAACAAGGAAATAAGCTGTAACAATACAAAGGCTAGAAGATGATAAGAGGATCTATAACTTAAGAATTAAGAATGTAAAGGAAGAAGCAGAGATACAAACAAATGAACTGCAAAGGCTATTCACATCAAGGAGAACTTCCCTAATATGGGAAAAAGTAAAGATACTCAGATGTATGAGGCATACAGGACCCCAGCCACCTACAACCCAAACAGAACTACACCCAGTCATATAATAATCAAAATTTCAGAAAGCCAATATAAGAACAGAATATTAAAAGCCATCAGAGACAAGAAACAGATTACTTACAAGGGAACACCCATCAGATTACAGCAGACTTCTCACCACAAACCATCAAATCACAAAGAGCATGGGGTGAAATAATTCAAGCCTTGAAAGACCCATAATCTCCAGCCAAGATTGATTTATCCTGCACAACCGTCCCTAGAAATTAATGGAGAAACAAAGTGCTTCCAGGATAAAGAGGAATTAGGGGAATTTGCAACCACCAATTCAACTCTATAGAGACTACTTCAGGACATTTTAAAAGAGAAAAATACCAAGATTCCAGAAACAGTGGCAGAGAGGCCACAATGAATGGAGCAGAAAGAGAAATGAAGAAGACAAACTGACAACAAACAACAGAAAAAGAGCTCAACAGAAATGAGGCAGAGAAGATCGGATGGTAGGAACAGCCATTTTGGAGAAAACAAGACATCATAATAGGTAGTGCTGATTTAATATCCTCTTGTTTTGAAGTCCCATCAAGCTTTTGTTCTTCTGTCTCCATCAGTTTTAATGTGTTGTATCTTATTGGATTTTATTATATGTGATAATATAAACAAAAACTTTTATAGACAAGGAGATTATACAGAAACCATTGTTCGTTTTCTGTTAGTTGATTCTAAATACCCTGTAATACTGTCATTCTCTTGAACAGTTTTACATTGTCTTGATATGTTTGATGCTATAGTATACGAAGTTATACTCAAAGATTTCAAGGAAAGAGACACTATGGTAACTACTTTTATGTTGGGATATCTTGCAGTGAAACACTATTTTGCTTAAATGGTTGTGTTCTGACCTGTGGTGTTGTGTTGTTATGTCCTCTTTTATCTCAATCTCCTTTTTTAATTATTTTTTTGTTTTTATCTTTTTTAATTAAGGGAAAAATAAATTAAAAATAGCAGGATATATTATAGTAACCCACTTTGATTTTCTGTTAACTTGATTTGAAACCCTGTATTGCTCTCACCTTCATGTTTTGACTGATTTTACTCTATTCTGTTTTGCTTGATAGTACCAAGTTTGAGAATATAGGTAACAACTGTGAAGACAATAAGATTCACTATGACATCCATTCTGGTTTGACTATTATCTTCTTTTGAAGTTCTGTATTGTCTCCAATGTTTTGGTTTTATTGGTTTTGTTTTGTACTGTTTTGTTCAATTTTATATAACTGATGATATAGGCAATTCTTTTTAAGATAGCAAAAGGAATTATAGTAACCATTGTTGATCACCTTGTATTCTGTTTTTACATTATGTACTATGTCCATCCTTTTGATTTGACTGACTCTGTTTTGTTATGTCACATTTGGTTTTATTCTCTTCAAAAAAAGTAATAAGAACTGTGGGAGTAATAAAACTCAAGATGTGTAATTGTCATTGTAAAAAAGAGAGGAAAAGAAAGTGCTCTAAAGGATATAACTGCATGTATAGTTAAGCATATAAGATAGATAACCATATTACTGAGTTTTTGTTGGATCATTGAACAGAACTGTTTGCAGTCTCACTGTTTGAATGTCCACTTTATATGCTTTAATTTTATATGTCCACTTTATATGCTTTAACTTGAACAACAATTTCTAAGATGACAATATGTAATCTATTAACTAGTGATTTCCTACTGTTTATTTTTTTTGAAATTCTGTATAACTTGCACCCTTTTTCTGTTTTTTTTTTTCTTTTTCTCCTTAAAATTTTTTAAAAAAATAAGATGGAAAATGCATAAGAAATGGACAGATTCCTAGAAACATGAATTACCACAGCTGAATCAAGAAGATATAACGATTCTAAATAAGATATCAATCAATGAAATCAAAGATGTAATTCAAAACCTATCAACAAAGAAAAGGCCAGGCCCTGAAAGATTTACT